ATTTTGGACGACGCACATTTCTCTCACAATCGCTTCCAAATTTACTTTCGTTTCATCGGTCCATAAGATGTTTCTCCACTTTTTTGTTCCCTCAGGTCCTGACCAACCTAAATGACTTCTTGCAAAATTGAACCTCATATCTAAATTTTTTGATCGCATTAATGGAACTTTCCTGGCTATACGTCCTGGTAGCTTGGCCTTGTGCAAACGCCTGCGAACTGTTTGGGCACTTACTACATTTCCAATTTCTGCTACTATCACCTTCCACGACTTGAGTGGGTCCTTTTTTTCAAATATCTACAATGTGGCGATCAAGAACTGTACTCGTTTTTTGTGGCCTTCCACGAGTTTCCCTACTAGATTTTCGCTTTAAAGCATTTTTAACAAAATTATGCGACCTTTCCATTAATTTCCCAATTTCCCGAAGCGATTCTCCTTGCCTTCTGAGGTTTGAAACTAGCCGGGCTCCTTCAACAGTGCAATGTGAGTTCCGACTCATCTGATTAAAAAATAATTTAATTTATCTGCAGCATTTTGAGCTTACTTAACTTCAGATAAAAAAACTTGAAAAACTGGATAAAATTAATTTTGTTTTCGCAAAAAGCTAGGTTCACTTATGAGTAACTATTATATTGAGCAATCTTTTTCTCTGAGAATTCACGCAAAACTGACACACGCTTTAATTCGAGGAATCACATGCTTCGTTCTCTTAGAAAGGGTGATGCCATATTATTTTAATTAAACTTACAGCATAACTTGTAGCATACAGCCCATAAAAAGTGTTTAAACTGTTGCGAGTACTAAGTTTTATAGTGTAACTGTAGATAACTTAAACTAAAAAACATTGAGGGTATTAATTAAGGATACTCTAGAGTGAGAAAAATCAAGAAGAACTTTCTTTCAAATCGAGTTAAACTCATGCATAGCACGCTTRAGAGGAGCATATTCAGCAAAGTTAGTACTTTCCTTTTTATAATAAAATGGGGAAATAGATCTGAGACAACGTTAAGGAGTGTTGAAGTAAATTTTTTAGGGACAGTCAATACCTCCATAAATAACATTGAAAACGAATGAAATGCAGAGAACGGACCGTCGATTTTCCAGTAGTTTAAGATGTAAAAGCAATAAACGAGATGTATACGATGGCATTGGGTGGAGGAACTTTAAGGAGCGGAGAGCAAATTTAAGAAGAATCTTTTGAATACCCTCGATCCTATCAATTGACGATATACAATATGGTCTCCAGATGAATACTGCATACTCGAAAATGGACCGATCAAAACAGGTATACAGTAATTTCAACTTGTAGGGGTCGAAAAATTTTAAAGCATTTCGATGGACAAAGCCGAGCATAGAGAATGATTTAGAAGTGATATAGTTGATGTGATTACTGAAAGAAAATCTGTTGTCAAAGATTACCCCAAGATCTTTGATTTCAGTAACGCATTTAAAGACGCAATTAAAATATTGTAACTTGTGGATAAGATGTTACTTCCCCTACCATAAGAGATCTGAGAGCATTTATCTGGATGGAGAAAAATCTTCGATTTCAGGCACCAACCATAAAAAGTTTCAATATCACATTGAAGTTGGAATACATCTTGTGGGTTTTTGATTGTTGCAAAAATTTTTAAGTCATCTGCATATAACAGAAAGTTAGCGAAAGAGAAGCAAAAGGAAATATCATTGATAAACAGCACAAAGAGAAGTGGACGCAAGACGCTTCCTTGTGGTACTCCTGAAGACGCAATGAATGTATCAGATGACACTCCATCGACGCTGACAACGCATCGTCTATTGTGCAGATATGATTTAATCCACTGCAAGAAAACCAAGTGAAACCCTAAAGATGATAAATTTTTAGTTAGAATATTGTGTGAAACTTTATCAAAGGCTTTAGAGAAATCTGTGTAGACACAATCTACCTGAAATCCAGCGGAGAATGCAGACATACAATAATAGCTAAAAATCGCTAAGTTTGATACAGTGGAGCGCCCAGAGACAAGCCCATGCTGATTGACATCAATTATTGATTTTACTGCAAAAAATAATTTATTTTTAACAGAACACACAAAAACTTTCGAGATAGTAGAAAGTTTAGAGATAGGCATGTAATTGGAGATTATATCCTTTCTACCACCTTTAAGAATAGGGGTAATGCATGTCAATTTCCAGTCAGTAATGAAATTCCCAGAGCAGAGAGACTTATTGAAGATAAGCATGAGAGGAAATACCAAGGCAGTACAATTTGTATAAGCACATTCGGAAGCCCATCCAAATCCAATTTGGAAGAAGACTTAATATCATAAATAGCCTTGGCAATATCATCTTGTGAAAGACACAGTGTGCCAAAATTTATTGATGGGAAATTATTAGCCGAAAGAATGGATCATCGTGAACATCATCAGCAAACGAGTTGGAAATGTCGCCAGGAGTGCATGCGGACTTAGCACCCCAGCGTAAAGCAAAGGAAATGACCGAACACGCTATTCTAGATTTTACAAACTTCCAAAAGAACTCAGGATTCGACTTAATTGTAGACTCCGTACTATTAATAAACCTTGTTGATGATTAATAACGTTCGCGGAAGATGAATTGTATTTATGCGGATTGAACTGAAAGACGTGTTATGCGGTCGAATTCCTTTATTGAAGAGAGAGATAAAACGGAAGCTGGTTTGACAGCAAGCACATAAGTGCTGCCCTTGTAGCTTCAAACATATGTTTAAAAAGATGATGCCAGATAGGCGCGAACA